GGTTTAGGGTTTAGGGTTTCTGTGCGGTGAGTGATTTGTTGCTGGGCCTTATCTATGAATGTTGGCATCACGCAGTGACACCGCAAAGCAAACAATGCTTCATGCACATTGTTGTGCCTTGAACCCTAAACCCTAAACTCTAAACCTTAAACCCTATACACCTGTTCGTACTTGCTTGACTCTGAGGTGTCTGTCGGAAGCCAGACAATCCGGCCTCCTGTCTGCAAGAAGCTGAAGGTAGGGGCCTTAAGAATTAGAATCTGGTCTTGGGGGCTTCCTTTCAAGGGGTTCCTTAAAGGGTTCCATCAAGGCTACTATAAGCGTTTAGGGTTTGGGGGCCTACATAATTAGAATAGGGTTTTAGGGGGTTCCTTATTATAATAATGGTATAATATACCCCAAACCCTAGTCTAATTATTAAGGCCCCACCATTATTCATGGCTTGGAGAAGGGATCAATTCTCGCGGCATGTGCACGACAGCAGAACATGATGCTCGCTGGTTGGTTGTCAGAGTCCCCACAGTTTTTCTCTCTCCTGCTGAGGCATGGAGAGGGCAGAGAGGAAGGTTGCAAGCCAAAACAACAACCCTTCGCCCGAACCCTAAACCCTAAACCCTAAACTCTCTTGGGAGGGGCATCGCAAGAGCTTAGTGATAAAGACGCTACCAGAGCTACTTCCCTGACACCAGGGTTCTCTTTGTCGTGCATAAGCCTTACGGGTTAGGGTTTAGGGTTTAGGGGTTTAGGGTTTAGGGGTTTCGGGTTTAGGGTTTCGGGTTTAGGGTTTAGGGAAGCTCCCTCTAAACTTCTCTGAGCTCAGATTGGTGCAGGTATTGAAAGGGGCCCACTGAGCCTTCGTTAAAGCTTTTTCAAAGCAGCTGAATTTTTGACACCGAAGCCAACGAATAAGTCGGGCACATTGAAATCAGAGTGCCTTGGAGACCTCGGAAAAGCTTGCCCCACGGCATCCTGAAACAATGGGTGTTTTGGGGTTTAGGGTTTAGGGTTTGGGGTTAGGGTTTGGGGTTCAGTGTTTATGTCCCATGCCTGCATGATCCGGACTCAGCTAAGAATCCTGGCACGACAACCATTGAAGCTTGCACCACCGGCGATGTCACGCTTCAGCCTCTTGGCCTGGCATTGGAGAGGATCATGACAGTAAACAGAGACCGCTGAGTCTGTAGGGTAGTTTTTCAAATTAGGGTCCCTTTTAGGGGCCATTTTTTTATAAGGGTGCCGTACTATATTGGGGATCTAAGTTTAGAGAACTACCCTGTAGCAGCTTCAGCAGAAGGCTCCACCCAAGAGTTCTGCACATCTCTTTGGATGTTTGAGGCAAGCAGAGGCCCTCTGCAAAGCCAATGACTTCCTCCAGGGTGCCGCCTGGCCCCCGCGCTATGAGGACCTTAATGACACCGCGATGAGTGCATACTGGAAAGACATCCACCCTAAACCCTAAACCCCAAACCCTAAACCCTAAACCTGACATGCTTGGAGGAGGCGGGCCTTGTGACCACCACAGAGCAGGATGAGTTGGATGACATGCTCAAGGCATCCTCGCCGGTCGTCCTCAGGTCTTGCCTAGCTTACCTAGCACCATGCACTGCGACCATGCTACAAGTCATGGCTTGTTCACACTAGGGGTTTAGGGTTTAGGGTTAGTGATTTGCACAGGACCGGCAAGCACTAGTGATAAGTCCACAGAAGTTGATAGAGCCAGCTCGGAGGACTGCATGATCGACGCCTGCAGTGGAGGCACCCGATGTGAACATGGTATTTAGGTAGTATTATTAGGGGTACCCCTTAAAGGGTACCCCTTCTGAACCCTACTTTTGGCCCTCTTAAAAGGGACCTTATTGAGAGGGTCTATATCCCCAAGGGTCCCCCTAATCCTAGCTCCCAAGTATTGCTCCGGAGGAGAGTTTCACGCGGTGTCAGGGAAAGGAACCCGACCATTTGTCCAACCTGTCTTTGTTTTTTTGTTAGAATCAGGAACGTACTTGAAGGACAGGAACAGGCTTGAGTATGAACGTCTCAAGGATCTGGTGCTAAAGCGTGAAGGATGGCAAACCTTCGAACATCACAGCAGACTTCGGCCTCTGCCCCATAAATGCGATCCCCGAAGGTGGGCTCCAATGTCGTCATGCATCCACCATGACCCGACGTCTAGGATCCCTCGGAAAACACGATACGGGGGCGATGTAGCCCTATGAGCACATAACTTCACATAACATCGACGACTCGCGTCCCACCGTAGGGGTTGCGAGTTTTGGCGTTTTTTGGAGCCTTCAAAGCCATGAACAAACGACATCCGAAATCACGCACGACCCCCAAGGTCCACGAAACCTCGCTGCCACCGACGTTTCATGATTTCCCCAACAATATAAATCTATTTAGAACAGCACAAAGTTTATACAAGCCACCTAGATGCATCCATACCAACCAACGAACCCTGCACTGAAGAACCCGATGCCGAAGCTTTCGGGAACAATAGTATTACTTGTAGTGCGAATTTACAGTAATCAGATCAGACTGTCAGAAATGAGGGACCCCTTTTTTGTGGGTCCCATGACGGGCAGCATTGAAGTAGCAAAAGCCTTCTCTGACCAGGCAAATTCAACAGTTGCCTTTCTGTGATGTCGGCGCTCGGCAATGTCAACTAATTCGGAAGGGGAATTTTTCAATTTTTTTTTTCTCTTGAGTCCCTGACCCTTGTCCCGCTAAACTTAAAACCCCAAACCCTAAACCCTGAACCCTGGACCCTGAACCCTAAACCCTAAACCCTAAACCCTAAACCCTAAACCCTAAACCCTAAACCCTAGACCCTCAACCCTTAATCAGTAACCCTTAAAACCCCAAACCCTGACCATCCTGAACGCTTAAAACTCTTAGACCCAAAGCCCTGACGTGTCCATGCAGGTGCGGAAGATGCCGCCATCTTAGCCCAGAACCTGGTGACGGAGAACCCGCAGGTAGTGGTGCGATCCTGTTGCTCTGATGGAATGGGTTTGAGGCTTTTATTAGGGACCCCAAAAGGACATAAGCATAAGCATTTTATAGGGATATCCCTACCTTTGTGGAGCTGCATCATAAGGGGGTTTACATGGGATATCCCTATCCAAATTTTTGCTGATTTGCTTGTTTGGGCCCTATTTTAGTGTCTGGGCGAAGTGTCGTAGATGGAGGCAGCCCTGCTTAGCCCAACACTTTTACAGGGCTCAGCAGCGCTGCGCAGGTTTGGGCGCTCCTCTGGAATACGGCCTAGAAGCTTGTGCCCTAAACCCTAAACCCTAAATCGAATCTCAGGTGCTTTTACTGAAGGGAGGCAATATGAAGTGGGCAGTGGTGCATATCCCTGCAGCTGTGGAGGACGCAATCTCGCAAATTGCTCGCGAGAGTTGGATGGGCCATCAAAGTAAGACTTGTGAGCAAGCTTAGTGACAGCTTAGCTCTAAAGCAAAGTACTGCTGTGAAAGCAGAACTGCACACATGAACATTCGTGCAGGCAACAGCTAGGCACCTGTCAGGACCCGAGCCTTTGATGCTGCCACGGATGTGTGAGCAACAGTGAGTGATCGCACCAGTGCGGGAGGGCGTCCCTTTCGCAACTCCCAAACGAAGAAATCAGAGCCTGTGCCGTAAACCCTAGACCCTAAACCCTAAACCCTAAACCCTAAACCCTAAACCTGTGCCAGGAGTGGAGTGCCAGATTGGAGAGGTCTGTGTAATCTCCAATGACACAGGCAACTTGCCCGTTTAGGGTTTAGGGTTTAGGGTTTAGGGTTCAGGGTTTAGGGTTTAGGGTTTAGGGTTTAGGGGACTCCATTTTCGAGGACCTTTGGGGTCCTAGTGGTCCTGACATTGGTTTTCGGTCGCTGGATCGACATGCAAAGGACAAAGGTTTTGGATTCTGGCTGAACCCTAAACCCTAAGCCCTGAACCCTAAACCCTAAACCCTAAACCCTCCCTAAACTGTAAAACCCTAAACCTCAAACCCTAGCTGCGAGCCTTCACAGTGCAAGCCGCATCCTGCTCAAGGCAGCTGCGAGCTCCTCACTACCACAGCAACGGTGACATCGTTTACGGTGACTGTCCCATGGCGGGTTCAGGGGTTAAGGGTTTAGGGTTTAGGGTTTAGGGTTTAGGGTTTAGGGTTTAGGGTGTTGTACGCGAGGTAGAGCTTCCTGGAATTTGCTCCTCGGACCACTCATGCAACCTCGCACATCATGCGTCTTTTTAAGAAAGCTTGAAGCACATGCGCAACAGCGACACCACACTGTTTGTCACACTGCAACATCTCCACAGAGTATGTTCTGGCCACTCTTCGATGCAAAGTTTCCAGACGTTGCTCCGCGCAGAGCGCTCGTAGCCCTCTATTCGTGAAGCTTCTTTGTTGCAAGTCGGCCCTAGCTACAAAGCTTCAAGCATACATCAGCTTTTGACCCCAAGTCTTCTGCGACGAGCACCAGCAGTACCATCAGCACATTCACATCCTCTTCTACAACGAGGCCGGGGCTGGCTCTCACGTTGCAGGATCTGTGCTTCTTGAGGCTGGAAGGCTTCAGCTCTGGAGGATACAAATTGACTACTGATTGCAGACGTAGAAATAGGCCCACGATCACCCGGGGACACAAACTTAAACTTTCAAGTGACTGCAGTGGTTCCGAGGAACTGTTCCAGTCCTGAGGACGCTGACACGCAGCTCTACCACGACCCTCACGACAACCAGCCTGTCAACTTCCTCAACTTCCAGGCAAAGATGAGAAACCTTTCGGCTGCGTGTTTGACTCTGGTGCTTCCCAGAGACTCCAATACCCCTTAATGAAGGAATATACCTTAAATCAAATTAGGGATCCTACTATAACTTAAGGTATATTCCTTAATTAAGGGGTATTGGAGTCTCTGGGTTCAGGCATGACCTTACAACTTGTCCCTGGACCCTCTGACATTTCCTAAGTCAGTAGCGCAAGCAGGACCTTGAGCATCACTTCGACGACTTCACTCTCAGCAACCAGCACGACGTCATCATCCACGAGCCTTTGCTAGCCCTGCTGACTATAAGGTTGAAGCATGGGAGCGCAGTTAGTTTGAGATGTACTCCATGTAGCTATGCTCTGAGAGTTCGGTTTTCAGTTTCAACAAGCCGCTACTCACAAGATGGCACATCAGACTCGACAGTGCCTTCCTGTGCCTCCACGCTCTGTATTGGGTTCATGACTTGACCTGGATAAGAGCTTGTCGGGAAAAGGCTGTACCTGTTAACCTGCAGCTCAGTTGTAAGTCATACTTGTCCCTTGTAACATGAACGGAAGCTCAGCTTCTCAAAACAATCCCTCGAGTCCCTAACGAGAGCTCCCAGAACCCCCTTGAAGCTCCACAGCCATACCTAGGGTTTAGGGTTTAGGGTTTAGGGTTTAGGGTTTAGGGTTTAGGGTTTAGGGTTTAGGGCCTCATACTATTTTGAGAAATGTTCAAAATGCTTGCAGTGAGCACCTGTATCACCGAGGACGTCCGGCACGTCAAGCTCTACCACAGCTTGCCGACGGCAAAGGGGGGCAATCCGTGGGAGGGCAGGAAGATGCCAAAGCATAGTAGAAACACTCTATGTTAATGCGCTTAGCTATAGTTTTTTTGCTTTTGCTTGCATTCCTCGAAAGGTGCATCCTTGTGTAGAGAGGGTTGTGATGAGACCGGACGACAGATTTTCCAAAGTGTGTCAGGTCAGTCCGAATTTCAGCAAAGAGCTTTGGTTTTGGAGTGCTCAGGCCACCGGAACCTCGACAACAACAGCTTCCATCTCTAGTTCCTTGGCGGGCAGAGGGCCAAAAAATTCTGTTCAACTGAAGGAATGGATCCGGATACACAAAGCCCTGCCCTCATTTCACTTCGTGGCCGGACTTTGCTGGTAATCTGCAGGTACTACCACATCTACGAGTGGGACGTCTAGCACCACAGAAACCAGCACGAGAAGCTCCACGAGTGCTTGGGCAGCAGTCCTCAATGGCCTTCACCAATATGGGTAGTTCTCTAAATTAGGGTCCCTTTTAGGGTCCTGTTTATAGGGGTGCCGTACTATATTGGGGACCTAAACAGGGACCTAATTTAGAGAACTACCCATATGCCGTCTTAGTGTGAACAGCTGTGCTGTAAAGGCAAAACCACCTCTTCCACCTCCTCCGCAACCTCGACGGCAACCACCGCAACTGCAGCCTAGCTGCACGAGGATCCGCAGGCTGTGATTTCTGCGCGCTTCGCAGCGCTGTCAGTCTTTGCGGAACCAGGTCAGCACGACAAGTTTTACATCTACCAATTCCCTGACCACAGTGACTTCCACTTCAAGCACCGCCACATCTGTGGCAACTACGGCAGCATCTTCTTTTGAGTAGCGATGACAGTGTAAACTGAGCCTAGAGTCGATGTCCCTTGCCCAGAGACTCCAATACCCTTAATTAAGGGATCTACCTTAAATCTTGTTAGGGGATCCTACTATAATTTAAGGTATATTCCTTAATGAACATACCTTAAATTATAGTAGGATCCCTAATAAGATTTAAGGTATATTCCTTAATTAAGGGGTATTGGAGTCTCTGGGTGTGATGATGCAGCACGCGCCTGGCCGAGACCGCGTCTTCCACCTCCTCTACGACGGCAAGCACTAGCACAGCAACGGCTACAAGTACTGAGTCCAAGCTGAATTCGTGTTTCTCTGGAGGGCTCTTGTGTTTGGTGTCAAATTGGTCAGCTGTCTTTCACCTTGGCCGCTTTGGCCATTGCAATCACGTGGCACAGCGGAAAGTTAGGCACAGCGCGCGCATGCTTTCGAAAGAATTGGGGTGCTGCTAGTTGCAGTAACCACAGCACAGCATGCACAGAGCTATCTCACCTAAACCCTAAACCCTAAACCCCAAACCCTAAACCCTGAACCCTAAACCCTAAACTCCTTGCAGTCCACGATCACGGTGACGTCTTCAACCACGTCCAGCAGCAGCAGCGCCACTTCCAGCAGTTCCTCTTCAACAGCGACCTCCACAACCAGCACATCCGCCACAGGAACCTCCTCGTCGAGTTCTTCCACCATCACATCTTCTACTTCGACCTCATCCACAAGCACTACAAGCTCGACCACTACAAGCTCGAGCTCTTCCTCCGTATCATCCACGACATCAACGATGCCCGGCATGGTGTAACATGCTGCAGGCTCAAGCCCACATGCTAAGGCACAAGCGCATGCACCCAAGCCGCGCTCTCACCTGGCCGAGGACTGTCACAACCTCAAGCACCACGAGCACCGGCAGCACAACTTCTGCAACCTCGACAGTCACCAGTAGTTCGACTTCCACCAGCACTGTATCGCAGCCGGCAATCTGAGAGTGGTGGGTGGGCATGGGAGAGTAAGTGATGGCTGCGGTCATGTTGTCTGAAAGCCTGCTGCGAAACTGAGTCGTCCACTTCTTTGACGTCGAGCAGCTCAACAATGTCAACCACATCTGCCACACAGACCTCCACCACTAGCACCACGGCCACAACGACGCAAACGTCCACAACTTCGGCGTCCTCAACCTCCAGCAGTGTAACGGGCACGACCAGCAGCAGCACCAGCAGCTCCACAACTGGAACTTCCACATCCACCTCCCGATCTTCCACCAGCTCAACGCTGTCAACCAGCACATCCCTGACTGCCACCACCACTTCCAGGCAAGGTTTAGGGTTTAGGGTTTAGGGTTTAGGGTTTAGGGTTTAGGGTACAGGAAAACAGGGGCAAATGACAGGAAACATGTAGCACACTGTATCCTGTTGCAAGGCTGTCAAGAGTGAATTTGTTGGCATTCACATAGATCGGGGGCAATCAGAGCGGGAAAGCATCCATGGGCAGGTCCACGACCTCTTCAACAATAACAACGCGGACAAACACCTTGAAGCCTGGCGGGCAGGTGGAGTATGGATTTTTCCGCAAGCAGCTCTAGAAGAACCCTAAAGCCCAAACCCTAAACCTTAAACCCTAAACCCTATAAGCCCTAAACCCTAAAACCCTATAAACCCTAAACCCTAAACCCTACAAACCCTAACCCTATAAACCCGAAACCCCAAACCCTAAACCCTGAGGGTGATTTTCGCAGCCCCGGCCTGCTGTTAAAAACTCCAAGGCCCCGAAACCCCCAAACCCCTAAACCCCCAAACCCCTATAAACCCCTAAACCCTATAAATTCCAAAAAAAGCCTATAAAGGCCTAAACCCTATAAAGCCCTATATCCTATAAACCCCCAAGCCCTGTAAACCCCTAAGCCTTAAAGCCCAAACCCCTGAAACCCCCAAACCCTAGAACCCCTAAACCACAGAAACCGCTAAACCCTTTAAACCCTTCATTTAAACCCCTCAATAAACCCCTAGACACTATAAACTCCTAAACCCTATAACGCCCTAAACCCTACAACCCCCCATAAACCCTTAGAAGCCCGCTTCAACGGAATCTCAGGGTCGTGCACATGGAATCTCAAGCTGTGCCTAGGACAGGGACCTCCAGCACGATGACGCGCCTCCCGGCTTTGCCAACCTGGCAAGCCTGTTTCTTTGGGATCTCGGGATCTCAGGAAACCCTAAACCCTAAACCCTGAACCTGAAACCCTAAACCCTAAACCCTAAACCTTAAACCCTAAACCCTATACCTTAAACCCAGGGTCTCAGAGGGTTTTAAGGTCTTCGGTTCATTTATCTGGCAAAGCGCAAGGTTCCAGCACCAGCACCACGTCTTTTACGGCGCGAGCCTCAGTTCAGGAAGTGCCAGGATGTGGCTGGAGTTTCCTGACAGATAGATGTCACCTGTTGTACGCCAAGGGGTCATCCAAAAACAGAAAGGTACGGGTTGCCATGTCATGTTAAGCATACCCAAGCTCTCAAGCATCATCGGGCTTGGGCGGGCGCGAGGTCACTACCAGTGTGACCTCAACATCAACTCGCTCAATGACGGGAACATCCACAACCAGTCGCACACACACTGCCACTACCAGGACCGTCACAACCACCTCAGCAAGCACGACGAGTTCCACCACCACAGTCACGGTTTCAACGACCTCCACCTCGGCGACGACGCCCTGCTGCACTGGTGGCATGATAGATCATGAGTGGCCGCGTTGAGACTTGAATCCAGTAGAGGGAGTGCATGTAGAAAGGACTTCTACTTCGCGTACAAGCACTTCATACACGATGTCAACAACAACAACGACTGATACGGTCACCTTCGTCAACACGCTGGCGTGTGGCAACGGGTTTTCAACACAGTCAGTCTGGGTTCTATTGAACCCAGAGACTCCAATACCCCTAATTAAGGAATATACCTTAAATTATAGTAGGATCCCTGATAAGATTTAAGGTATATTCCTTAATTAAGGGGTGTTGGAGTCTCTGGGAACACACCCCGTGCCCCATTCGGTTATTATTTGGGCATCCCTGGAGGTGGCCCTTGGAATCCCTCTGGCGGAGGTGTTGTTCTCGAGTGGGACGGCCACTCGCCTAGCGACGGCCATACTAGCTACTAGCAGCCACAAGGCTGATTGCATTCTGAGATGGAACCCTAAGCCCTAAACCCTAAACCCTAAGCCCTAAACCCTAAACCCTACAACCCTAAACCCTAAACCGTAAACCGTCGCAAAGCCCGATAGCTTCCAACCTAAGGTTTTTTTTTTTGCATCAGTTCATACTGACGGGGGCTTGACCTTGAGCTTAGATATACGAGGATCCGCCATTCCTTTTGCAGCCTCAAAGCAATGTTTCGGTGCTACGGAGACACAGAAGCAAACAGCATACGCAGGCCCGGAAATTTGCTAACTAAACCCTAAACCCTAAACCCTAAACCCTAAACCCTAAACCCTAAACCCTAAACCTAAACCCTAAACCCTACACCCTAAATCGGCTAACTTGCTAGCAAGTCATGGCATCGGTTGCTCGAGCTGGGACCTGGAAGTTGCCCCGACATTCTGCTCGGGTTCGGGTTTAGGGTTTAGGGTTTAGGGTTTAGGGTTTAGGGTTTAGGGTTTAGTTTAGGGTTTAGGGTTTAGGGTTTAGGGGGCCTAGAAGCTCCAGGGCTTGTACTGTTGAATGCAGGCATTGAGTCTGATAGCCCCAAAGTGCGTTGATGCTGGCATTGAGGTGGGGACCTGTCTGTGGATCTCCTCAACGATGGCAACGGCTGGGAATGGAGGGTCGACATGCGCAAGCAAGGGGAAGGATCCGCAAAGCGTGGAGTTCGACAGTCTTTTTGTTCTTCCCCATTTTTTTTAGGAGCCATGGGCACGTGGCGGACACTGACATGCACAGATCTAGGCTGCAGGATGCAACGTTGGATATCAGAACCTTTGACTGCAGGAAATGACTGGTTCTTTGTTGGTCACTGCTCAGACTTTGCGTTCACCTCCTGCGAAGTGTGGTGCGCCTTGGCCAAGACAGGGGTTCAGGTGAGCGTCTTCCTGGTTAGGGTTTAGGGTTAAGTTTTGTCTGGGAGCCCTAATGGCTTACCGCCCACAGACCAGACAAACGGCCGGCTTCAGAGAAACGACAGCAAGAAGTGAAGAGCCACTTCTTACAGCCGGGCTCTGGGTTCCATGCTTGGGCTGCAAGCTGTCGCTGCAGGTGGCTTACAAGCTCGTGACATCAATCAGGTTCCTTATGTGTGCTAGACGTGAACATGCGGCGCGACCATGTTATCGTCTTGACAGAAGCATCACGTAAGACCCCTAAACCCTAAACCCTA